TTCTTTGCAAGTCTTGCTCGTTTTAGGTTGGGCTTTACCACTATTACCAAATTTCTGGTGTACATGTAAAAATACTATTATTAACTTATAAAGTCTTTACTATTTTAAATATTTTCCAGGAGAGTCTTTTATTTCTAGTTCAACTTATTTTGAGGGATTGTACACATTTATCACCACATGCACATTGTGGGAAATGTGTTTGTTGTTTGTTTCTTTTTCCTTAGTTTATTATGGGAGGGAGGTGATCAGCAGCCTGATGTCTAACAATTGCTGTGGCCCTGTTATTGTGCCTTATATGCCAGAGAGACATCTTGGGCAAATTGATTGAGAGGGAGGTGGTGATACAGTTGCAGGGTTTTCTGGATGACGCTTCCATTTTAGATCCCTTCCAGTCTGGCTTTTGCTCAGATCACGGGATGGAGACGGCGCTGGTCGCTCTTACTGATGACCTCCGTAGGCACCTGGATTGGGGTGGTTCAGCGGCGTTGCTGTTGCTAGACCTGTCAGCTGTGTTCAACATGGTTGACCACCAGCTGCTCGCCCACCGCCTCGCCGACGTGGGGATACAGAGGCTCGCTTTACAGTGGCTTGTCTCCTTTCTCCAGGGTCGGGGTCAAAGGGTGGTGCTTGGGGAACAGCAGTCCAGGAGATGCCCACTTCAGTGTGGGGTACCCCAGGGCACAGTGCTGTCCCCAATGCTGTTTAACATCTTTATGCGCCCCCTTGCCCAGGTGACTCGGAGGTATGGGCTGGGTTGCCATCAGTACACTGATGACACCCAGCTCTATCTGATGTTGGGTGGCCGGTTGGACTCCGTACCAGAAGACCTGGACTGGGCGTTACAGGCCGTGGCTGGTAGGCTTCGGCTGAGCCGGTTGAAACTGAACCCGGCAAAGACAGAGGTCCTGTGCCTGAGTGGTGGCGGCTCAGGGTTGGGGGTCCCGCTCCCAGCCTTCAATGGGGCAGCTCTCGTGCCAGCGTTGGAGGTTAGGAGTTTGGGGGTGCTCCTGGATGCCTCCTTGACAATGGAGGCCCAGGTAGTGGCCACTGCTAAATTGGCCTTTTATCATCTTCAGCTGGTTCGGCAGTTGTTTCCCTTCCTTGACTGCTGCGACCTGGTGACAGTGATCCATGCGATGGTCACCTCGAGACTTGACTACTGCAATGCTCTCTACATGGGGCTGCCCTTGTCCCAAATCCGGAAGCTGCAGCTGGTGCAGAACGCCACAGCCAGGGTGTTGATGGATCTCCCACATCGGGAGCACATCCAGACTGTCCTTAGGTCACTGCACTGGCTGCCAATAGCATACCAGATTCGCTTCGAGGTGCTGGTACTTACCTTTAAAGCACAATATGGCCAGGGTCTGACCTACCTGAGGGACCGGCTTTTCCCATATGTACCCCAGAGAGCACTACGGTCATGGGCCCAACATTGTTTGACTATTCGGGACCCCAAGGATGCAAGGCTCACCAGTACCAGGGCCAGAGCCTTTTGTGTGGTGGCTCCTTACAGGTGGAATGAGTTCCCGGAGGAGATCAGGGCCCTGCGGGACCTTTTACAGTTCCACAGGGCCTGCAAGATGGAGCTCTTCCACCAGGCCTTCAAATAGGAGCCTCAGCTGTATGCCTGGCAAAACATTTCTGTTTTACAGGACCTGCGGAACTTGATCAGATACCACAGGGCCTGTATCTCATCTGGAAGGGCATTCCACCAGCCCAGGGTCAGAGCCAAGAAGGCTAGGTGAATACTTTTTGAGCTGGGGACCACCAGAACATTATTATTCATAGAGCACAATTGTCATGGACCAGCCTGACCAGCTTGAGTCCAGAGTGGCTGAGGACTCCTCAGGAGTTGAGTAGCCATATGCATCCAGCTCTGGACCAGCTAAAGTTAGTGAATTAGAGATACAGGAGCCTCAAGATTCATTGCCGGCAACTGACCTTGAGCCACCCACGCTTAGCTCTGAAGTAGCTGATGAAGTACAGCTGCAAGAAAGTAGCCCACCAGGTCCCCCCCCCCAAATTAATTGAACAGCGAAGGGAAAAACTCCAGCAAGATTTAAGGACATGCAGACAGAGTGCTCGCCTCTTAGCTCAACAGCAGCAGCTTAATGATAGCAGTTCTGAGTAAATGCAGGAGCACCTGCAAGCAGATGACTGCAAATCAGGCTTGTTAAGGAATGCCTATAAAAATCAGACCTGGAGAACTGCAGATTTGTGGAAGCAACATGTCACAATCCTGTGAACTTTGCAACCACAACTCCAGACTCTGCCTGTCTCCTGCAACCTTTGGACTGACCCTCAGCTCTGCTTTTCGGACCTGCCTGAGCCTTGCTGCTCAATGACCCTTGGACTGCCTTGACTCTGCTTTCCTGAGCAACCCATGAACTCTAATTGCTGCTAAACCAGTATTTGATCTCTGGACTGGATTCTTGACTGTTGTCTAGCTCTGTTGCCTTGCTCTGCCTGTATTCCAGGACAGCAATGCTCTCTGGGAGGTGTACCAGGGGAGAGACAGTCCTGAAGATATGTTGGTCCCAGACCATGTAGGGCTTTGAAGGTTAAAACCAAGAGCTTGAATCTGATCCAATATTCAACTTGGAGCCAGTGCAGCTGGTAGAGCACCAGTTGTATGTGGGCTCTAGACAGAGTGCTTGTAAGCATATGCACCACTGCATTCTGGTCCAGTTGGAGTTTTCAGGTCAGTCTCAAGGGTAGCCCTCCATAAAGGCAGTAGTCTAGTCTGGAGGTGACTGTAGTATGGATCACTGTGGCTAAGTTGGGGCAAGACAGGAAGGGAACCAGTTGCCAGACCTGATGCAGATGGAAAAATGCCGGTCTGGCAACATGTGTAATTTGAGCTTCCATTGAAAGGAGGCTATCCAGAAACATTTCTAAACTCTTCACAAGTGACCCTGGTATTAACGGCTCTCCATCAAGGGCTAGAAGTTGGCATTCTAACCTGAGGTCTCCTTGGCTCACCCACAGGACCTCCGTCTTCAATGGGATTAGTTTTAGCCAGCTCTGCTTCAACCAACCAATCACAGCCTCTAGGCCACTGACCAGATTGTCTGGGGCAGCATTCAGTCCGCTGTCCATCAACAGATACAGCTAGGTTATATTATATTATAACATTTTCATTGCAAGAAGGAGCAGAGGTCCATCAGTGGCTATTAGTCACAAGGTATAGATAGGAACTCTCAGTCTGGGGCAAGTGATGCTCTGTATTCTTGGTGCTTGGGGGGGCAACAGTGGGAGAGCTTCTAATGCCTTGGCCCCACTGCTTGACCTCCTGATGGCACCTGGTATTTTTGGCCACTGTGTGACAGAGTGCTGGACTAGATGAGCCACTGGCCTGATCCAACATTGGCTTGTCTTATGTTCTCTTAATTAAAGAGTTATAGTTCAGGCATATTCATAGTAGTAGACATTTGACACCTAGCAAAGTAAGAAAGCTATCATTACTTAACTTAGGCTGGATTCAGACATTTTGACAAACTGAAAATATTAAACATGTGTTTGTTGGTGTTGGGCTGTGCTGACATACTTCCCTTGCTCCTTCCAAGGGTTGCTAGCCCCCCCCCCATCCACTGCTGGGGGGTGAGGGGTAGAATTGCCACATCTGGGTTGGGAAACTCCTGGAGATTTGGGGATGGAGCCTAGGGGCCTTGGCGGGGTACAGTGCCATAGAGTCTACCCTTCAAAGTAGCCATTTCCTCCAAGAGAAGTGCTATATGCAGTCTGAAAATGAACTGTAATTCCAGGGGATCCCCAGGCCCCACTTGGAAGCTGGCATCCCTACTCCTCCCATCTCCCCTCATACAAAGGTTGACTGAAAAATCTCCAGCTCGATCAAGCTGTAACACAGGCATTTCAGCAAACCGGAATTTCTTTACTCTCTACAAACTGGGATTTTGAATTTCAGTTTAATTCCAGTCCTGAACCTTGTTTTTTTGGGGAGTAAGAAAACTGCCATTCACACAGGCATCACATTGAAGCTTGATCAAACATTGACACTTGATCAAAAGAGAAAGAACTGTGAAGCCCAGAAAACACCAAGAAAGCTCCATTTAATCTGTTTGTTGTTAGGCTTGAATTTAGCCACTGTCTGACAAATATCTGTGCACCACAGGCTTGCCAGGCACCTACCAGGGGTGGGTGATCCCCTGCTCCAGGGGCCCTCTCCTAGCACCAGTCAGCTGGCTGGCAGGGGACTTACTGGTAGCGTACACTGAAAATTACACCATCACATTGGGACAGTCTGGTATTTGGGCAAAAATTCTGGTAAAAATGATTTCTACCATTGAGTTTTTGCCCGTGCAAACTTCACTGGAGGCCAGAAGAGTTGCCTAGTTTTTTATGTCACAGTCTGTATTCATCTTCAACCTGGCCAAGTTTCAAGTGGATTATTCCTAGTTCTGTATTGTTATTGTTGTTGTTATTATTAATGGCACCTAGTTCTGTAGACTTCCAGCTATGCTAGAATCCCTATTCTATCCTTTCTTTATAGCTAGTCACAATGTTTTCTTATTCTTTGAATCCATCACACTTCCTAATATCAGCTGTGGAAGAAACCAGCCTGCATAGGACTTAACAGTAGGGTTGCTAGAACCCTCCTGGCAACTAGTGGGGGATGGGGGGGACTTACCAAGAGCAGGAGGGAGGCCCAGGTGATGTTGCCGGGGATATGGTGACATCATCACATTGCAATGCTGGGGTAATGCACTTCTATTTGAGGGAAACCTCTATGTTAAAATTGGGTTCTACCATAGAGCATTTGCCCAAATACCAGAATGTCACCCAGGCTTCACTGACATGATGACATCAGTTCTAGTGCATGCCAGAAGTGATGTTGCCGCATTGCTTATCATGAAGCCGGGCCTCCCCCTCTCTCCTGGTAAGTCCTCCCACCAGCCAGCTGATCTATGGCAGGAGGTGGGGCCTGGTGGTGGAGGGGGTCTGGCAACCCTATTTAACAGTGGTAAAAAAAAAATCCTTACCTGACTGGCCCCTCCGGCATCCTTTGTTGTATAAAATGTCCTCTATTGAAGTTTCAAAAATCAAGTGAATATTTTGTAGGAGACCCTGAAAATTAGAACAAGGAAAAAAAATTACAATGCAAGGTAAGGCTAGTAACAGATGGGAGGTCCTATATCTTTTCCACGTTGACTAAAGTTAATCTTGCAGTAATGCAGAGACAATTATGTATGTGATAAATATTATTGACCTAATAGACATTTTTCAGCATGCAAGATAATATTTAAGCAGCTTCTTTCTGGTGCCTTATCAAGAATTCTAAACTCCACTGTAGTGGCAGGGTTCATCTACAGTACACATTCATATTAGTTTTATATCAGACATGTTCTTCCCAACCAGCACAGGATTGTAATTTGACACAGATGGTGAAAATTCTCTCATACAGATCCTGAGACCCACCCACAGAATTACAGTTCCCAGGATTCCCGGGGGGAGGGAATAGCTAATGTGTAGTTTCAATCCTAAACAGTGTTACATCCTTACAAATCCATTTAAGTCAATGGGCTTAGAACAGTGTAACTGTACTCAAGATTGCACTGTACACTGCTTAATTACAATGCTGTAATATGAATTAGCTATTAATATTCTCAGATGAATAAGTGGACTGGAGCGAATTAAAGTGATTTTTCAGTACCATATGTCAGATCATAGAGCTGTAAAAGAGCAACCAAAATGATGAAAGTGCTGAAGAACTTTCACTGCAAAAAAAAAAAGGAAAGCAGCACCATGTTAGGAAAACTTACACTCTTTGGCATCTATTGATTTCAGTGGACTTAGGAGGGTGTAGTTTTGTTTAGTGCTGCATTGTAAAATGTTTCGGGCTTCTTGAGTAACAGAAATCTGTTACAGCCTTCTAAGATCATTGATGGCAATGGGCTTAGAAGAGTGTATTGCTGTTTAGGATTGCACTGTAGGGGAACAATTGATATAAGGTTTTCAAATTCCTTTACGGCACTGAGAAAATAGGTAGAAATAATTTCCCTCTGTGTCTCATAACCCTAGAACATGAGATCACTCTATGAAGTTGGTTGATGACAGATTTAGGGCAGGCAAAAGAAATAACTTCTTCATGCAACAATTAATTTACAGAGTTTAGTGATACAAGATATAGGCTCTGGTCACACGGGCCAGATATCGCGGGGGGGGAGGCGTGGCTAATTGCCCTGGAGGAAACTAATGCGCGGCCGCCCGAGCAGACGTCCCGGTCGAGGTCCCGTGGTTAGGGGGGAGATGCCGACCAGACGGGTATCCTGCAGCACGGCACAGAAGCCGCGCCACATGATCGCACTAGCAATCGCTCTTTGTGTGCATGCACTGTTGGGCGCTGTAGTGCAACCTGTGGAAACAGGCACCGGATGCCACGTAAGTCCACCGGAAACACGATCAGACGCCTGCCCTTGGCCTGCGGTTTCCGGAAACTAGTACCTTGTAAGTACTAGTTTTTTAATCCGCACCTTTGGCAGGGAGCCACGGGTTCGCCATGGGAACACTGCGCTTCCCAGATGTTGGGGTGTGATCGCGCCCGGAAAATCCGCGGGACTCCTGTGCCTCTCCCACAGCAACTTTGCCGTGTGACCAGGGCCATAATAATGTTGACAAATTCAGTCACACACACACACACACACACGTGTGTGTCTATCAACAGGGTTTTTTTTAGCCACAATAGCTAAATGTAATCTTTTCTCCTTATGTAAAGCATTTCAACTAGGGATGCCAGGCTCCCGGTAGGACCTAGGGATCCCCTGAATGACAGTTCATTTCCAGCCTACAGAGATCAGTTTCCCTGGGGGGGGGAATGGATGCTTTGGAGTGTGGACTCTATGGCATTGTATCCCACTGGGCTCCCTGTCTTCCTCAGACTCTCCCCAAATCTCCAGGAGTTTCCAAACCTGGATCAAGCAACCCAACCCCCCACCAGTGGCCAGGGGGCAGCTGGCAACCCTAATTTCAACTAAGAGTGAAAATGAATTAGACTTTAGTGGCTCCATATGGCTCAGCCAGTTCATTAGATCATCAGATAAAGAGATCACCGAATAATGCACTTATGAAAACGTTTAGAAATAGGGGGAAGTGTGTGTTGTTAACAGAAAAGTGTCATTTGCAGCCTTAGAAAGTAAAAACGGTTTTGTAGCACAGATGTATTGTGATTCTTAGAAACTAAGAATGTGTTCTTCAAAATTGGGCTTTTTCTAAAATAGGCCCTGAAACTCACATGAAAAAGAACATTTCAAAGACTTTCATTTGCAGAGGGGGGAAATCCCAAACAAACCCATGTTATGCCCAGTGCTTTGGGCAGGGGCAGATTTTATCTCCCTCCGTGTTGCCTCTTTGAGCATATTCTTTTTGTCCCACATAAGTCAATGAGAATCATTGACAAATGAGAGACAGTAAGCAACAGCACTCAGGAACATAGCTGGAGGGAGCAAAAACACCTCTCTCCATAACATTGTCTGGGCTATTTGGAAGAGCCACACACATTACCCCACTGTTTCTTAATTGTGACTTGTATTCTTGAATGTGGAATAAAATGTAGTCTTGAGAAATGAGCTTGCCTCTGCATAGCTCCATTCTAGTGTTAATAAGATAAGCATATGGAGCAGAGGTCCATCAGTGGCTATTAGCCACAAGGTATAGATAGGGGCTCTGGGGCAAGTGATGCTCTGTCTTCTTGGTGCTTGGGGGAGGGGTCAACAGTGGGAGGGCTTCTAATGTCCTGGCCCCACTGCTGGACCTCCTGATGGCACCTGGTATTTCTGGCCACTGTGTGACACAGAGTGTTCAACTGGATGGGCCTTTGGCCTGATCCAACATTGGCGTCTCTTATGTCCTTATGTAGTGTTCAGTTCTTGGTCACACAAATGTATGACTTTGATTCCTCTACTCAGGTGTGCAGAACACATACGTGAACCATTCACTGTGTGGGGAACATGAGTGTTCAATTTGGTGTTATCCCCCTTTGAAAAAACTGAAATACCACCATCAATTCTTTGTAGTGAACCTCATTTAAAAAACAAAACAGAAAAGCAGTTTAGAAAAGGTGCAACTAACCAGCACTGCAATCCTAAGGAGAGTTACACTATTCTAAGCCCACTGACTTCAATTGACTTAGAGTCGCATAACTCTGTTTAGAACTGTACTGTAATGCACTCTACATGAGCATGTCTCTCATACCCATTGAGGCATGGCAACAACTGGGAGCCAGCTACAGGAATGTCACATTTGAAAGTGCCCAAATACTTTTGGTACTCAGGCAAATATACTCAAGTACTAAAACTGAAGTGAGAAAGGCCAAGGAGGGCAATTCTAGGAAGAAATAGTACTGCTGTTTCTCATATTTGTCCAATGTTGTTAAAATATCAGTAAGAGGTAGGGTCTCTGTTTAAGAAAACAACAGTCAAAGGAGTCAAGGTAATACCTGCACTACCACCTCAACTGATCATGTGAACTGATCCTCCCTCTGATTAAAACAGCCTTATTCTCTTTTCCATCCCTGTACTTCACTGCAACAGCTGTACAACAACCATCAATGACCAGGGAACAATTATATCGCCACCTCCAAATGTACTGTTTATCACCCAGCAGACTCTAGAAGGATGTTCTAGACACTAGTGTCAAAGGACACTTCAGTACTTTATGTGGTTAATTCTTTACTGAGTTTACATATTTTTAGTGTAAGGAGCCCTCTAACTGGAGGAAAGGCAGATAGCCAAGAAACTGATAGCCCCTGGGGGAATTATCCAGGAATTCTGTGATTAACCTGACACTAAGGCCAGAACCAGGCATGCAGTGAACTGTATGGTTGCTGCCAACAACTGCAATCCCATGTCCAGCTTTCTCTCCATAATTATGTGTATTTAAAGGAATGTGTGATATTTTCTTATTGCCTATCACACATTTCCTCACCCCATGATGGTATTTCCTTAACCAGACATTATGAGGAGCAGATAATGAAAGAGAGTTGTATAGGGGCTGCTGTTTGGGGCAAAGGCCTATGATGTTTGTCACATCCAGAGGTCATTTCAGGGGGGATCGCGGGGGATCGCAGTTCCCCCGGGTGAGGTACGGGGGCGGGGCACATGACAAAGCCCCGCCCCCACCTCCGGCCGCCCCGCTTCCGGCCCTCATTCAGCCAGGAGGAGGCAGGAGAAGAGGGAGGGTAAGTTGCTTCCTCCCTGCCTCTTCCCACCCCTGTCTGCCTGGGGCCAGGGAGGGCCTTTGCGGGGCTTCCTTGCACTCCCGCCGGCCTTGCAGGTCCACCGCCGGGCCCCTCATGGGGCTCGGCAGTGGAGCTGCAAGGCCGGCGGCGGCAGCCGGGACCGTTGGGGGCGGAGTGTGTGGCCTTATGACACACTTCCGGTGATGTCAGGGGGTGTGGCCTTATGACACACTTCCGGTGATGTCAGGGGGGTGGCATATGCTAATGACTTATGCTAATGAGTTCCCCTAGCTCTTTTTCTACGAAACGACCCCTGGTCACATCTAGTTCTGGCCTAAACTTTACAACACCATGGATGCAGTCCCAAGCACACATGTTGGGAGTAAGTCCCGATGAATGTCTAAGTATGCACACTTAGGATTGCACTGCAAACATACTTACCATGGAGCAAGCCCCATTTAACTCAACCTCCACATACATCCAAGTAAGCATCTTTGAGATTATGTTGACAGTCATATGTCATCTTAGGATATATTTCTTTCATGTTACCTACCCGGAAATGGTTCTCTCTGATAGATCCTTTTACCACATACATTCTACTGTTCTCTGCTTTCAGGTGTTCATAGAAAGGCTCCTCCAGGGTTAGGCTGTCAATGAGGTCACAGCCCACATAGAGACTGTAGTTTTCTCCTGTTACTTGCACTGTGATATTCTTCCAGTGTGAATCAGCGAGGTCCACATCTTCCAAAGGAAACACCTTCCGGAAGCCATCTACCCAGTAGGAAAGTTCCAAGGTATTGTCTCGGCCATTAGAAATAATTTCAAACTGTCGCTGAGAGATACCAGATCCTTCCAGACCAAGGAGGGTGCCCCTGGACTTCCTATCCTGCCTCACGGTGGCGGTGAGGATAAAACCCTCATTTTGCTGGATCAGTTTAATAATTTGTTCTGCTTTTTCCGCATTAATGGGAGGTATGTGATCAAACCGGATGAAACGGTATGCTGGGCCACTGGAAATGTTCCCCCGAAACATTTTTGCTCCAATTGTCTTCCTGTTTATGTTGCTGATTTGCAGTAAGTCAAAAGTCGTCTCATCCTCTCTGTCACCATCTGCAGAAGCCACCAGCATGTAGCAACATGATTAGCAGAGTAACGTACAGCACCCATCAATCCAATCACTTTCTCTCAGTAGCATCGTTTTTTAGCATTGCTAGCTATAATTATCCTTCACAGAGTGATTTATGGCTATTATAACTTTTACCTTCACAACAACCAGAGGAGCTTAAACCATTCACATTCCATTTTCCCAGATGGGAGGCTGAGAGTTCAGTTTTTCCTAGACCACCCAGAGGATTCATATCTGCATAGAAATCTGAATTCAACACTGTCAACTGAACACACTGGCTCAATAAAGCAGTAATCTATCAGTGGATTTCCTCCGAGGTCGTTACCACAGCAGCATGGAGAATACTGAAGTGCTGCCCCATTCTTCACTGTCCCAGCCCTGGTTTAAGTGTGAAGAGCATGTGCTGCAGCTGTTCCCTGAGCAGGCATTAAAGCATTGACACTGGTGTTGGGGAGAGCTTCAGCATGGGGTCTTCCTACATAGCACAAAGCTTCTCAGATTACTTAAAGCTGATTGAAGGATTAGCACTGCAACAGCCTGTATGCTGGCAGACTCAAGACAATGGCCTATGACTGCCAGAAGACACAGGAACTCCATCACTCACGTGGCCCCTTCGTACATGCCCAGGGAAATGCTGATCACCACTTTGGGGTCAGGAAGCAATTTTTCTCCAGGCCAGTTTTGGCCAGGGATCCTGGAGGGTTGTGTTTTTGGGGGGGGGGTTTGCCATTTTCTGGGCATGGAATAGGGGTCACTGGGGGTGGGGGAGAGGTATTTGTGAATTTCCTGCATTGTGCAGGGGGCTGGACTAGATGACTCTGGAGGTCCCTTCCAACTCTATGATTCTATGATTTTATGAGACTATTTCTTAAGTATACATTGCCATAGATAAACAAATTATACCAATTCAGATCAATGGTTCATCTAACCAAACAGTTCCAATCCAGTAGTATACAGGCAAAGGTCTTCCCTAGGTCTGTTGCCTAAGATCTTCTTAATGCCATTTTGACATCACTGAGTTTTATTGTTTAATTGTTTTAACAGTTTAATTTGATTTTATGGTGACATACAAATGTATTTATGATATGATGTACACCACCAAAAATCAAATACATAAATAACTGGAGATACCAGGGAGTCAGCCTGGGATACTTAACATTCACTATTATGAGCTCTGCCATCAAGGGACAACTCCCCCAACTGGATTGGTGATAGAACGGAGAATAGCAGCGCATATGAGCTTTGCTACTATATCTGTTACTGCCTCTGGATGGACATATGGGTAACTGCAGCATATTTAGCAGAAAACACTAAATTCTGCAAATGACTTATTTGCTGTTGCTGCTTGGCCAATCTATGGAAGAGATAAGTGAAACTGAATAAAGTTTTAATCTGAAATCTTTGGGTCCAGTGAATTGTCAGTGAGAACCCAATACTGGGGCATTATTAAAGCCTGGCAAGTTAAGACCGGATCAGAATCTAGAGAGCACAGAAATCCCCTAAGCAGTTCTGGGCTTTCTTAAGGACAAACAAGATACAAATACTAAAAAAAAAATCCATCATAAGAAATTATTCTTTCTATAGAAACTCTTCATGACACTGCCTTGTTCATGACTTACCTTGAGCCTTTGATGACATCCACGATGTTAGCAAAACTGTTAGCCACAACAGCCAGCTCCTGTGCACCATAATGCCTATGAACAAACCAAGACGTATGCATTATTGAATCTTTGTCCGTTTTCAAAGACCAACACATTCCCCTACAAACTTACAATGAAAACCACTATATTGGAAGGGGATTCTGTTCTTACACTACAGCAACTTTATTATTCTTTGACTCAGAGGAGGGCACTTTTGCAATTTAATTTTTTAAAAAATCTTGCTGTTTATTCTGTAGCTTTGACCCTACTTCTACCTCTGTAATCATGTATATGTTTTATCCTAAATTGATTTTCGTGGCGGTCAAGAGAACATTCCTTGGAAATGCAGAAGCAAATAAAGAGGACTCAAGCATAATATCTTTCCTAATAAATTCAAGGAAATATATGCTGCATATGTAAAATCATCTTTGAAACCTTCTGTGAGACATCTAGGCATTCAGATATAGGTCTGCTAGTTATTCCATCTCTTAAATCCACTTCTGGCTAGCTGTAGAGCCACATTCTTGAAAGATAATGGTATTTCCAGCAGGGTTTCACATGTAATTTAACCTACATTTTGTGCTCCAAAGTCAAACCTCAGTCTCTCTCCCTCTCTCTCTCTCTCTCACACACACACACTCTCATGTGCAGTGCTGTAAAAATAGCAGTCTGCTTCTATTTATTTCTACATTAGCATGAAGAGATCCTGTATCTCTGTCCGGATCTTAGACTGAAATCCAAAGCATACTTGCTTTGAAGTAAGCCACATGGTACTCAAAGAAACTTACTTCTGAGTATACATGCAGATGAATGGATTGCACATCTGGCATGTATACATGGAGGGTTTCTGAGTGGAATGGACCCAGCAGAGGAAGCCTAAAGGGCATTTCTCGATAAATTCTCTCTGTGTGCATTTCTTGATCTATTCTCTTTATTGTATTGATAAAAATCTAAAATCTCATGATCCAACCAAAGTTCGTGTTTAAGCCTGAAATCCTGTCCACCCTTCTCTGGAAGTAAGTCCCACTGACCTCAGCAGTATGTATTTCTGAGGCTGCAAGTATGCTTAGTAGGAAATACATCCTTATAATTTCAGTGGGACATACCACTGTGTAAAGTCTGGGACTGAACCCCTAACCCTTTCTCTATCTCTCATCATTACCAACTGCATATATCCAAAGGTAACATCGACAGCTTGAATAAGGTTAATACCTCCACATGAGGGACTAAGCACTTTTACATGGTTTGACTGGGGGGCTTTCCCCCAAATTCAGCAAATGCATGGACCTAAAGGTATGATGATCACAGCCTGCCCAAGCAATATGTACGTAGACTTTTGCTATGCAATCAATCACCTAGTTGAAAAATAGACTCCCAGACTGCTCTTTCATAGTCTTTGTATATTGGGGCTCCTGTAGACTTGACATTAATGCATGGAAGTCCAAGTGAAGACAGCTGGCAAGTCCACCTCTCCACATTCCCTGGACAACAGAATAGGGCCAATTACAATGCGGTCTTTTGTTTGTTCCTTTGGTAGACATACAGCTAGGACAAGACAAAGCTAGGAATGGTTTTGTCCTATGGACTTCATTGGAAGATTCAGGCACGTGCTTAGTGCTCACCCACTGAAGGATCTAATTCAACGGGTGTGCTTAGTGTGGGCTACTTTGGAAGCAGCGTTACCCTAGCAAACCATTCGGAAAGAGATCAGCACATCACAGGTACCCTGCCTAAACAAAGAGAAAATCCTTCAGAAACACTATGGAGAAAGGGAATGCCTTTTGCCCAGCACAAGTGCCTTTGAAGTGAACGGGCATGCTTGCGCTCCTCTTCCTCGTGGATTCTGCCCCTCCAACTCTGGTGCCTATTAGAGACTGGCATGTGCACTTCTGGAAGCAACAGCTTCCTCATTCAAATTCGTATGATGCCCTACAGACCAAAGAAAGTCCCTGCCCAAACGCTACCCTCTCCGATGCTGCAGGCACATGATTCACTGGTGCTCTTGCACGGCTCCCGTTCGCTTTCAACGCTGTTCGGGGCAGGAACGCTTCCCAGGGGACTGTTCCCTAGCCAGAGCATCGGCTCTCTTTTTAGCCCTAGCAGGAAAATCCAGCAACAAGCCTCCCACGAGTAGTTGACTAATGAGAGTAATTGGGGGGGGGGGGGGGATCAGAGAAAGCCTTTTGTCTTTTTGCTTGGGAGCCAGCCTCGTTGGACGCTGCGGGGGTTCCTCCGGAGGACAGGTGCGTTTCAGAACTGCGCTGCGCGCCTTTCGCCCAGCCGCTCCCAAGCCCCCCCCCCCCCCCGGGGGGGCACCATCTCAGCCCTTACCTGGCCCCAAAGGTCTCCAGTGATGCTCTGCGACTTGCCGCTCACAAATCCACTCCCCGAGGAATCCAAGCTAAAGTGCCTGTCTGTGGACGCGCGCAAAGCCGAACTCCTTCCAAAGGCAGTCCTTGGTGGGGGTGTGGAAAACCCCCGCTTTGCCTCTGGCGGGGAGTCCTTTAAGTGGCTTTCCAGCGGCTCGCTCGTCGGCGTTATATAGGCTCCCTTTCCATGCGAGAGCTGTCAATCAGCCAGCAGAGGAAACGCTCTCGACTCCATTCCTCGGCGGCTATGACATAATTCGCAGCTGACGAGTTTCTCTCGTCTACCTGGAAAGCGACCCCAAATCCAGCCACATCCTGACCCAGAGTACTCCTCCCCCCACCACTGGCAGTGGCTCGTTTTGGGGAGGGGAGGAGCCAGACAAGGACAGGAGCGCGACGGTGACTCTAGCCCCCCCCCTTTACGCCCCAATCCTAAACCTTCGAAGGAATTTGCTTGCGTCGAACTGAGAAGACTATTCTCGTGCAAGAAACCTGGAAGGGGGGCTACTTTAAAAAAGCAACAAGAGAAACAAAGGCTGGTCAGATGCCTAGGTTAGTGCACATTCTTCCACGCGTCTGCGTCAGATGAATGGCCAGTTGGCAGGAAGATTCAGACGATCAAGCCCCATAAGAGCGAAAGCGTTAACTGCAACGTGCAAACCGAAGAACTTTTCCTCAAATAAACTTGGAGTAGGATTCTGAGTAGAAATGCTTCGGATGGCACTGCAAAGTCTTGAGTCCAGTGGCACCTTTATGATCAACAAAGTTTGGGCTGGGACGGGGACAGGGGAAATGACTGGCCTATGGGCCAGAAAAATTGAGTTTCCCCCATCCAGATGGCAACTATCCAGGCTTTACTACAATCTTTCCTAAAACTTGGCAACAAAGCAAGTTTGAGAAAGACTGGAGAAAAGCCAGGGGAATCTCTGAAAGTGCACAAATGCATCATGAGGCTGTGGGGAAGGGGTGGGGGATGCTTCCGCAAAGTGTTGAACTCAGGGCAACTAACCCCTGAGAAAGCCATAACAATTTCTTATGAAAGAGCCATTCTGAGGAGATAAAGTGGACTGACCCATTCAAACAGCCACCATTAGCTCTGTAGAACCCTCTTGCCTGCCTTCCAGGCTAGCAGCTGGTACTTCTTAGAACATAATTTGGCTTTGGGATTTACAGCTGATCATCCTAATTTATGCAAATCCACTTTTTAAAACTGTCTTTTAACTGCTGAGTAAAGCTCCGCCCCCTTTTTCTTGCTTTTGTAAAGGGGGTAGATGCATGATAAGTATGAAATGTTTTGGAGGGAGTATGAAAAACGGGTGCAACATTGTCTGGATTGGCATTTTGACCTGCTGCTCAAAGAAGGAGCTGGGGGACTCCAACCATTTGCCATCAGTCTGTTACATTCTATATTCTGATTATATTTCTCTCACCTCATATCCTCCATGAAGTGTCCACGGCTTTGTCATTTACCTGTGGATAACCATATGTAGCCTGCAATGGTAAGAGCACGTTCTTTGGAATAATATGGGACTTACATCTAATTATATCTGCTTTGGGATTGTGCCTGTAATTGGTTAGTCTGAGAAACAGGGATTTGTTCTGTAAAGGGAGTTCATAAGGACTACCCTTCCTGTTAATGGTGAGAATTTCAAGGCAACAAGATTCCTGTGACTGGAGCAGTGGAGATGTGCATGGTGCTAGGCAGTGTTCCCTCTAAGCTGAGTTAGTGTGAGCCAGCTCACAGTTTTTTAGCCTCCGGCTCACACGTTTTTGTCTTCGCTCAGGAAGGATGGCTCCAGAGCAGACTAATCTAATCAGGAGCCAAATCGCTCGCTCACAACTTTAAGGCCAGTCGCTCACAAAGTAGAATCTTTGCTCACAAGACTCCACAGCTTAGAGGTAATGTTGGTGCTAGGTTGTGTGAATCCCAGAAACATCAGTGGGGTTTATGCAGCCTTAGTGCATTATTTGCATCACCAGTTTGGTATAGTGAATAAGAGTGGACTCTAATGGGTTTGATTCCCCACTCCTCCACATGAAGCCAGCTGGGTGACTTCGGGCCAGTCACAATTCTTTCAGAGCTCTCTCAGCACCTAAAAACAAGTCTAGCTCACCACTAGCATAGCGCTAAGAGCCAGAACTGGTGGCTGCCAGACAACTGAAAGATCTCCTAGTTATACCATGTGATAATTAATTAATTAATGTATCCTTTGCAATAATCCATTGTTGTTGTTTTGTTTGCAATGAAAAGTCTGAGCAGCCATTACTTGGGAAGCATAGAGCAGGAGGTATTTGTTCCAAATCAGCATTCTAAATTCAGAAAATGTTTCCCCCCAGAAAGCTCTTAAAATTTTGCCAGATTAGTTGAAGTCACCATCCTGGCAGGTGATGTGCAAAGACTTCATGCTGGCAGGTAAGTGTGACAGAACTACTTGAATCAAGACCTTTTGATGCCAACTGTCCATTTGTGCTAAAACAACTGATACAATTCCAGCAATAAAATTTGCAACTATAGAACAATAATGAGTAAAATCAGCCATATAAATTTTTACAAAAAAAAGGGCAGGCTGTAGAGAAGCGGTTAAATGCCAAATGAGGGTAAAGATGATCTAAAATTCTGGGTGAAGAGAAATATTTTCACCTGATGCTCAAAAGCCAACAAGGTAGGCACCAGGCAAGCTTCAAGGGAGAGGACATTCCATCACTGAGATTGTGTGTGTGAGGACACTGTTAGTGGGGCTTGTGATGATTATCTTAGATGGGAGTCCGGTCACTATGGAAGAAGGCAGCCCTAAGTACTCCCAGTCCCAAGTGGTTTAAGGCTTGAAAGTGTGCCAGGTAGCACATAGGCAGATATAACAGATCTCAAACGCAGAATGGCATATCTTAAAGCAGTATGTATAGAACTCTGCAGAACTTATACTGCAATACAAAATTGGAGTTACATCCTTCTAAGGCTTAGAAGGGTGCAGCTCTGCTTAAGATTTTTTTGACAAGATTATCACAGGAATTATTTATTTATTTCATTAGATTTCTTGACCACCCTTCCCCATTTACACGGGGCTCAAGGCAGTTTACAACAAAAATAATTTGATATATTATGAATCCAATTAGAACCATAAAATTCAATATTAAAAACATTCAAACATAAATATTTGAAAACATTTTAAGAACAAGATGGCATATCTAGCATTCAGTTTTGGGAGAGGAGGGTGAATACATTAGAAGCAGGAAACCAGCCAGGGAGGCAGTGGGGCCCTTGGATGACCAAGGGGTAAAAGGAGTACTAAAGGATGATAGGGAAATGGCTGAGAACCTAAATGCATTTTTTGCCTCTGTCTTCACTGTGGAAGATGAGAAGTGCTTGCCCATTCCAGAACCACTGATTTCGGGAGGGGTGTTGAAAGACCTGAGTCAGATTGAAGTGACAAGAGAGTAGGTCCTACAACAGACAAAAACTAATAAATAACCAGGCCCAGATGTCATATACCCAAGAGTTCTGAAAGAACTCAGATGTGAACATGTGGATCTCCTGATAAAAATATGTAATCTTTCCTTAAAATCTGCCTCCATTCCTGAGGACTGGAAGGTAGCTAATGTCACTCCGATCTTTAAAAAGGGTTCCAGAGGAGATCCGGGAAATTACAGGTCAGTCAGTCTGATGTCGATACCGGGTAAATTGGTGGAAAGGAAACCATTATTAAGGAAAGAATTAGTATTTTTATGTTATTTATTTACATGAGGCTTATATACCGCCCATAACCCCTAGTGGGTTTCAGAGCGGTTTACAGACTTACTACTATATAGTAGTGATTAGACCTACCTAGGGCCACATTTCACAAGGGGAGGGACTTCCCTATCGACCCCCGGTTGGCAGCGCCTTCTCTCTTCTCCCGGCGGGGTCCACATGTTGTTGTCATTTTTCTGGCTTCTTTCTGGCTGCCCGGCGACCTTCTCCCGGAGGCTCGGTGTTTTTGCGCGCGAATGCTTCTTCGGCTGCAGCTTCCGGCTCACGTCCTTCCGGACGTCCGCTTCACCTGTGTCTCGCATCCTGCGTTCGCTCCGCCTTCCGTCAGGTCTTGGTCATCCGGATATCAGCCGCCATTGTTGTTTTTCGCCGCTGCCGCCTTTCACCTCCGTTGCTGCTGCCAACACTCCTGGCACGGAACCAGGAGGTGGGTGCCCCCTGCCACCTAGGGCAGGTACCCAT